TGTCCCATAAAGATTCTCGATTAGATTAGTTGACCGTCATTCGAGTAGCTAGAATATCTGGACAACCAAACACAACTTCAATTCTTATTATGGAGATTCATATATACATATATATATATATATATATATATATATATATATATATATATATATATATATATATGGAAACAAGCCAAGAGTTTGGCACTAAGTAATTCTCAATGAAACTTGTCGGGTTTAATTGCATCCTGATACACTCCATAAGCTCTGAATTGACTGGGACATAACGTTTTATATCAATCTGTATTTGAATATTAAATTTAACACATACTAGAGGGATTACTAACCATCAAAAGACATGTTGAAACAATTGTCACTCCTATTCCCACAGAGAATTCTCCAGAAGCCAGTGGAAGATTGGGTTTGTTTACCTAATAAACATGCACAGAGAAGCAGAAAAAACATACAAATAAAATGTATAATTGATCTAAGAATATGTACAAAAAATCAAGTAGAAGACAAACATATGAAACATAAAATGTGAGCAGTGAGTGTAACTCTTTTACCTTGTCTATTTCAACATCGAACAATTGATTTAGTCCCACCACATAAATATTCATCAATATTGACGGGATCAATGCCTACAATGCGAAATTAACAAAGATGTGAGTTACAACACCAAAGAAGTTCTTTAACTCATTACTTCAGAACAGAAATGTTTACCTTCAAAAGTCCAACTAAGAATGCCAGAGACAGATCTGCCATTGATTCTAAAGGAAGAAGAGAAACTGAAGTTATTCCTATTACCTGGTAGATCACAAAAAAAAAAAAATTAACTCATCATTCAACTAGATTCAAAGTGACTTCTTTGCTATTTACTCCTACTTCTCAAGAAATATGAGGAGATCAAACTCACAGTACCAATCACAGTGTGTGGACGAGAAAACCGGTAGAACGCATACAATCGCTCACATAGATCAGTCTGAAATGTTGTCAAATTACCATTCTTAGGTGCCGATGCATGCTTATGTTCTAGCTTGCCAGAAAAAATGCTTCTTTTGGCTAGTTTATGCTTATTGGGTGTTTTCTGCTCTTTGTAACTTCTCAGATTATTAGCTAAAGTTAAAAATCTTTGGCCACAACATCCAAGAGGTGTCCCCCAATGGTGTACGTTCCTGCAATTTTGCAGATGCTTCCCTGGCAATCGAAATGGGGTGACAAAACCTGCACAAGTTCATGAATTATTGCATTTATTGTAAACAGTCATATGAAATCCAAACAACCAGCAAGGTTTTATAAGTGTGCTCCCACAAGATCATTCCAGTCCGTGTTGACAATGAATCTGCTATTTGTTCTAACCTTGCGTTTCTGTTACTTCAAGTGGGGCATAACACAAGCTAATTTCCATACTTTAGGCCTTAGTAAAAGGACAACAAGTAGTTCACCCTTTTCAATGATGCCCACCTGTGAGAACTAGCAGGGTACTAAGAATTTGGAAGACCGCGGCGTATTAGAAAGTACAACATTTTTTGATCAAGTTACAACTAAATAGTGTCAAATTATGACAAAAAAAGTTAGAACCAATCCTAAAATATTAGGATTGATTCCAAACAACCTCATTTTTGTGTAAGATAACCTAACCTTGCGGTTTTACTACAGTATTAAAAACACTTTTGTGGGCACTGAAGTCTACCCTTGAGGAGTTTATTCAATTTTTGAAACTGTGATCAGCCTTTGCTCAGTCTAGCATCAATAGTTTCAGTACAAAGGAGAGAAACATCCACCTCATACGAGCCCCAACCACACTCCTACTTGATAAGCAGGGTTTAAATGCAGTAGCTACTGTAAATTTTTGTAGGAGTGGTAATGGCTTGTGTCGTGTACATGCCGTGGTGAAGTTCACTCAATTCATTCACGGTAAATCTATAGTTGTATCACATCGGATTTGTATCATATATAACCACGTGCATGTCAACCCATTTATTAAGTGAAATTAACATGCTAAGCCAGGTATCACCAAAATACACTAAGACTTTTATTCATTAAAATTAAAAATATGAGATTTACTTAACATGTCAACTGTCATGTCATTTTAACTCTATTTTTGTCCTCTTTTTTATCAGCGTAATATTACTGCTTGCGAGTTAGCCCAATTGAAGCATCATGGAAACTAATCATTTATTTTGCCGATGTCATGAAGGAGCCAGACCATCTCAAGTATCCATTTTGTGCCAAGTTTAATCATTTATTATTAAGCTATCTCACTATAGTCTAGTTCATCACCCACGATTCTCTTTCAATTTTTCAGTTGCCACGTCTAATTGAGTTACATACGTTACTATGCTCCTCTTTTCATACAAGTCCTTGAAAAGATAAGAGTTTAGTGAAAGAAAAAAAAAAACCCAGAAACAGAAGCGATGATGGAACCGATACATATCTATAATATAAAACACAGTCTCAACTCCTCTAACGGCCACCAACATCCCCTCAAAATCATCCACATTATACCGCACGGTTACCTTAATGTGTATATATATATATATATAGTTTTCAAAAAAAAAAAAAAGGGTCTTACATATATAACCGAAGTGAAATTTAAATTTAGAGAAAAAATGACAGAGCATGTTCAAAAATGGCTCAAAGAAAAAAAAAATGTGGATAAAAAATGAAAGAAGATATGGTGTTGGGACAGACGTACCTTGCTGTCGAGGAAGATTTCTTAACGGGGAGTAGCATGAACATGCATTTGTTTGAAACATGGCTCTGGATCTCTCTCTCTCTCTCTCTCCCCCTATTTCTAGGATTTCAAAACACTCACAATCTCCGTTACATAGTTGATATGTGGGGATGTTTAGCATAGAGTGATTCTTGTGACACTTGTCAATTGATCTTACAAATGGCAATGGATGGGATTATCATCGGGATTTTGGTTTGGGTAGAATTAATTAACTCCAAGAATAAATATTAAATGTAATGGTGACCGACTGGTGAGTTATATATCATTATTATTATTTTCATAATAATAAATTACAAAACATCAAATAAAAATAGTAAAATTCCGTTTCAGTTGTTCATCTAAAAGAGCCACTCGCTACGTAATGTTGTCACACAAGATAGCATTTTTAATGTTAAAAGTCTATAAAATCAACTATCAACAAAAATACTCTTAATGAATGAGGTAATTTAAAAACTTCAACCATTATTCTATTTTTATATTTATTATCGCTATTATCATCATCATCCCATAGTCGCTGCCACTGTTTGCCTCTGTCACCATTACCATTATTATTGTCACCCACCACTATCACCCAATACACACGACCACCGTCGTCGCCATAAACCATCACCACCAACCAAAGCCGCCGCCACCACCATTACCATCACCACCTAAAACCCACCACCATCGCCCATCGCCCAACACCCACCCACCATCATCACTGTCTCCAAAAACCACCATCACTCGTCGAAACTATTATGGCCAACCACCAATGCCACAGTTGCCACTCACCCACTACCCAAAACAATGAAAACTAATGAACTCAAAAATATTGAAAAAAAACATAAATAGTGAACTTTAACATAATGAAACTCATAGTTTACAAACACAGTGAAAAATTAGTCAACCACCCACCATTGCCATTAACCACCGTCACCCACCACCCATTGCTGCCAATAATCTCCACCCACCATTACCTATTGCCGCTAACCACCATCACCTAAAACCCACCACCACCGCCCACCATCATCATCGCCCAACACCCACCCTCCACCACTAACCACCGTTGTCCATCATCACCCACCGCCATCACTATTGCCAAAAATCACCATCATCTGTCGTTACCATTACCCATCATTATCGATTTGCATAGCCGTCACCAACCAACACTAGCACAGTCGCCACCCACCCACTACAAAAAAACAGTGAAAAATCTCCTAATTTTTTTTTGGTTGCACTTTCATTCATTAAAAATTTAAGATTTACTTACCATGTCAATGTCATATCATTTAAACTCTATTTTTTGTCCTCTTTTTGGTCAATGTAATATTACTATTTGCGAGTTAGCCCAATTGAAGCATGGAAACTAATGATCGAGGACCAAGAATATAGGGGTGACCAATTGGGTCATTTTGTAGATGAAACTCAATTTCTCCAAATATTTCATCTTTTGGCGATGTCATGAAGGAGCTGGATCATCTTAATTTTTGATTTAGTCATTTTGTGCCAAAATTTAATCATTTATTATGAAACTATCTTGGTCTAGTCTAGTTCATCACCCTTGATTCTCTTTCAATTTTCGGTTGCCACGGCTAGTTGAGTTACATTAGTTACTACGCTTCTCTTTTCAAACTGGTCCTTGAAAATGTTAGAATTTAGTGAAAGAAAAAGAAAAAAAAAACCAGAAACATAAGTGGTGATGGAATATATATAATTGAGGAGGGTCTTATTTTTTTTTTTTTAAAGGGAGGGTCTTAAATATATAACTGGAGTCAAATTTAAATTAAGAGAAAAAAATGACAGACAATGTTTAAAGAGCCTCAAAGGAAAAAAAAAATTGAATAAGAATTGAAAGAAGAGATGATGTGGGGAATTGAAACAGACGTACCTTGATGTCGAGGAAGATTTCTTAAGGGGGAGTAGCATGAACATGCATTTGTTTGAAACATGGCTCAGGATCTCTCTCTCTGTAGGATTTCAAAAGACTGCCAATCTCCGTTACATAATTGATATGTATGGATGCTTAGCAGAGGGTGATTGTTGTGGCACTTGTCAGTTGATCTTACAAGTGGCAATGGATGGGATTATCGTCGGGATTTAGGTTTGGGTAAAGTTAATTAACAACTCCAAGTCTACAAGAATGAATATTAAATGTAATGGTGACTGGTGAGATACATATAATTATTAATATAATCAGAATAATATATTATAAGACATCAAATAAAAATAGTAAAATTCCATTTAAGGATAGTAATTAAATGTGGTAGTTATAAGAGTAATAAAGTTTAGGGAGATTTGATAAGAGGTACACAGTCACATTTTTTATTTTAGGTCTAGCTTCAACACTTTTAATATAAAAAATTTATAAAATCAACGCTCGGCAAAAATACTTAGAAATTTATTTAAAAACTTCCACAATTATCTAATTTTTATATTTATTACCATTATTATTCTACTGTGCCCCCCCCCCCCCAATAAACACCACTACGCACCACCACTAGAGTCCATTACCACCATCGCCGTCATTACCCGCAGCCACCACCACCACCACAACCATCAAACACCTTCGCCACCAACAGCCATCATAACCACCCACTACTATTCCCACCATTACCATCATCACCACCTCCGCTGCTCACCATCACCCGCCCACCACTACCACTGCCATCCACCGCTTACCATCACCACCCCTCGCCGCCCACCACCACCATTGCCCCAACACCCACCCACCACCTACTAACCATTGCTGCCTACCACCACCTACCATCATCACTTGTCGCCACCATTATTGCCAACCACCACTGCCATAACTATTATCCACCCATCACCCAAAATAGTGAAATAAATGATGAACTTTAATATAATGAAATTTTTAGTTCACAAAAACAACATCATTGACCATCGTCGCCAACCACCACCAGCTGTCATCCATTACCCACTATCACTGCCAACCACCTTCACCCACCATCCAAAATAGTGAAAAACTAGCCCACCACCACCACTCATTATTGCTGCCACACCACCTTTAGTCACCACCCAAAATATTTAAAAACTAGTCTACCATCACCACCACAGCCATCACCATACACTACCACCACCACCACCGCCACCTTCACTCACCATCGCCGCCAACAAACAACTAGCCAAAACCCATCGTCGCTAGGGGTGTCCATGGACTGGGTTATTCACGAGTTCTGTTATCCGCCCAAAAAAAGAGGCCCAAAACCCGATAGATCCGATTGTTTGTCCACCCAAGCCTGAGCCCGAGCCCGAGTCCAATATCCATAAAAAGAGGGCTTGAGTTTGTCCTTAAACCCATTACTCGGCCCAAGAGCTCGCCCGTCAAGCCCATCCGCCAAGCCCAATCCGCCCACATAGCCCGCTCACCCTTCATTTGAAAAAAAGTTATACTTTTAGACCATTAAATTTAAAACTTTGAAATAAGTCTTCCAATGTTGAATTTTAAAGTTTTAAAAATTTAAATACTATAAATAATGTATTATTTTATTTTCCATGTATTAAGTATCCAAGTTTTAAAAGGTAGAGTAATACAAATGATAGATAAGTGAGTAGATGTCAACCTAGTTGAGATGTATTCATTTTATTGGATGTAGTTCATCTCCTAATTAAAAATAAAATTATTTATTGTTTTATTTTTATCCATTTTGACTCTATTTTTGATTCAAAAATAT